GATACCATGGTTTCGATATTTTACTCATATCGATAAAAAATACTGGTATTGAATGAATAGTATCGAATCGTTTACTAACCGCCATATTGGTTCAAAAATCAAAAGCACTCGAATGATATCGTACAATAATTATTTTCTAGTAAAATGGATTGTGTGCGTGGTGGAGGCCCCGTGCCAATTTAATTGGAAGTTCTACAACAATTTTGAAAAACTTCACCTAAGTGACTGCAATTATTAGACTGGACTAAATAAAAATGTATTTTATTGCCCATTATTGTTGTTATTTTTTTTCATATATTTTTTGTTTATTTAATGCTTAATTTAAATAAGAAATAAAAGAGTAATTATTTTAATTTTTAAGTCAATTCACCTGTTACAACTTAGTAATTATTTATTTTCAAGCCCCCTCCCCCATTGTAAAATTCTGCGTACGCCGCTGATATATCAGCCTATATAGTTGTAACGGAGCACTTCCGTTAGAAAACGGCCCTTCACAGGGCCACCATTGAAGCAAAATGGCTATGTAAAATAACACCGGTGGTATTACCAACTACATGCGAGAGGTATAATTTTACACGACCAGGAAAATTACAGCATAAAATGATACCTATCGATAACAAAACATGGTCGGAAGATGCTATTTTACATTATCAAAACAAATAAATGCACAAATCCAAACGAACCCACGGGAGATCAACGTGTACAAATAAGAAACCCCAAACACCTTCAATATATTAGGAGCCATGGGGGGGGAGAAAAACTAATTTTTCTTCAATACAAATTTAAAAATAATTTACAGTTCATAACCTAAAGCTCATGTTTCTGTTATAATGATAACCAGGGCTCGGAAGTTGTAGCATTAAAAATGTTACTTTTTAACTCTTAAATATGCATTCAGAAACTCTAAAATATACGCTATAAATAGCACGAAAAATCAAAATATATGCATTAAATAATATAATAAACTGTTAACAAAAATGTTAAATTACTTAAATATATTTGTAAAAATATACCTACTTATTATTAAATTATTTTATATATTTACCTAGGAAATTATCCTAGATTATTAAAATGTTTGATAATCTAATGCAATGATATAATAAGGGAATAACATACTATTAATACATCAAATTATCGATGAAAACATAAAACAATATTTGATGATGTCTATTTATTTCCAATAATTAAAATATTTTTTTAAAAACATAACCAAGTAAATACAATTATTATCAACAAAATGTGATTATTTCTTATATTATGTGAAAATATACCTGAAAATAGCACTATAAACCCTAAATTAGCAAAATAGCAATAAAACCCGTAAACATGCAAAAAAATAGTGAAATTAAATTTTGTGTAAGATATCCGAGTAGTGAGAAACATATTTGTATCTTACTTTGGATCTTCTAAGATGAACCAAAAAAAAATATGCATTTGCTAGAACTTCCGAGCCCTGATGATAACATATTATAATGATAGACTAGTAATTTATATTCTTAATTGTTTATACATTACATTTTTTAAGTAAATCGATGTATTATATTCAACAAAAATATGAGCCATGGGAAGGCGAATGCCCAGTCCTTTCTCAAATACGCCCTTGATTAAAATGGCCCTTGTTAGGGCCATCAAATTCCCTCCACCCCATCTCCGATTGTTTGATCGACATGGTTCCGGGTCCGCGTTGGCATATTGACGAAAACTTATTTGAGTTATTCCAATTATTGCTAACGACCACCCCTTGCATAGTTGTAAATATAATAACCAACCCCACTGTATTTTCAGAACCCGATCAGCCGCTTATTTGAGCCTGTTGATCGGGACCCAGACATGGAAAGTATACCCCATGATCTCAACATGTACTATTGGAATAAAAATAATGTAGTTATGCGTGAAAGTAGTTGACACTGGTTGTCCACTTTCATCTAAATCGGCTTCTCGATCACACATTTTACTGCTTAGAGGGTTCCTATCAGGGGCGTATTTTAGGGGGTCGAAGGGGGATATCCCCCACCCTTGAATCCGTATTTAAGGAATCGATCATATGTGAGATAGACATTTCAAATTTTTTAATTGGGATAATTTTATAACGATACTTAGTGTCCATACCAGGGCACCAAAACGTTTTTATAACGTTATAAGTAAACTAACTTATAAAAACTATATATTATACTAGTAGAACTTCCAATTTGGTCAGATTTTCTTTTTTATTGATATTTGCTAAAGCTAATCCATTAAGGGGGTAGGTTACGTCCAACAATCAAAAAAATGGTCCCGACCCCAGTCTTATTACGGTGTAAGTTATGAATACATTTTTTTGAAAATCGGGTTATAAATTATTACATGTATTATGAATGAATTTTTGGTCAAAGCATGAAGAATGAAGTGAGTTTTCACAAAATTAAGATATAGATTATTTTGGAGCAGCCATTATTTTATACATTTTAGATCTTTACATATTACTTCAAATATTTCATCCCATGATGAGGTATTTGTTTGATGTATATTTGGCTACATCAAGGACACTCTGCTCAGGAGCATTTCTGAAAAAATGATTGATCAATATTTGCTGTTTATGGTGCAAGGAGAATATAAAATAATTTAATGATATTTTTTACCTTAGAAAGTATAACAAATATATATATTTATTTTCTTATTTTGAATGGAAGATAAAGTTTAATATTTACATAAATTACCTCAAGTTGTCACTATGCTGAAGATTTGACATTTTAGTCGTTGAAGAAGTAAAAAATGTAATAAAATCGGGTGTAGAAGGAATAGTACGCAAGTTCTGTCATACCATATGTGACGTTTCGACCTTGTTTCTCTTTTACTGGCCAAAATGTACACTAAGTCACTGATCTATTGAAGGGCCGATATGAAACATTGTTGGACAACAAGATTGGTTAACGAGGAAACAAACTAAAACAGTATTCAAAACATCACAGCAACATAATAATACTATCAGCGTCCACGAAAAGACAACAATTTACGGAAGAGACCACGTGATTAGGGACGTTGCAATATTACGGATATCAATAAAGTATCGATATTTTTCTTTCGATATAAGTACTTTTTGTATTGATACCATGGTTTCTATACTTTACTAATATCGATAAAAAAATATTAGAATCGCATGAATAGTATTGAATCGTTTACTAACCGCCATATTGGTTCAAAAATCAAAAGCACTCAAATGGTCGAATGGTATTTTAAAATAATTTTTTTTTAGTAAAATGGTTTGTGCGCGTGATGGAGGATTTGTTTACATAAATCAGTCATCACTCTATATACTCTATACCAGTGCTTCTCAACCTTGGGGCCCAGGTTATATAATTGGTGGGCTGTAAAATATTTATTAAATTTAAAGCTCTTGAAATCGAATTTAATGAAAAAGAACTTACTGCATTTTGGTTAAGACGACAAAAAGAGTATCCTGTAATTTCGAAAGCAGCTTTACTTATATTAATACCTTTCGCATTGACATATCTTTGTGAAACTGCATTAAAAACAAACATAGATCATGCATTTCGTAATCGTCTTTAGAAGCAAACTTGCGTATTTCAGTTTCAAATATCACACCTGATATAAATATGCTTTGCGAAAATATGCAAGCCCAACCGTCACATTAATAATTATAACATTTTTTATATTATTATTATTATTATTAACCTAGCCTCTGAAACCAAATCAGCATTATTATTGAATATTTTTGTATTGCTTTATCGTTTTTACCAATTACTTTTTGTTTATATATGTTATTAGTTTTATACAATTATAAGATTACATTTCAAAAATATATTTAAATATATTTATTTTCTTTCCATTTTAATAATCTATTTGTGTGAAATAGTGTATGTAAATTTAGTATATAATTAGCAATAAATAATTAATGATTTTGATAGAGGGGGGCCTTGACAGTTTTACATTAAATTTAAGGAGCCCTATAACAAAAAAAGTTGAGAAACACTGCTCTATATGATTACATTGTTATTTCCACGGACCAGAAACTAGTCCACACAATACAATAGCGTCAATAGGTTCTTAATCGGAAATATTATTCACATAGGACGTTTTATATTTTACTCTTACCACTATTTTAATTCGATTCGATACGATGATACGATGAAGTAAAGACAGACTTGGGAAATATACTTTTTAAAAGTATTTATAATAAATACTCGAATACTTACAAAAAATAGTATTCCGAATATGTATTCAAATACTTTATACAAATTGTATTCCGAATACATTATTTAGAATACTTCAAAAATATTCCGAATACTTTTAAAATACTTCTACTTTTCATACTATAAAAATAATAGATGTCCACTCAACAGAAATATTTGAAATTGTAGACTAAATATATGTTATTTTATTGTATTTTTATATTACATAACTGTTGTAGTTTATGGTTTAAAATAATAATAAATACCTGATATTAGCTTTTACAAGATACGACGGAGAAGTAATAAAATCACGGTATTGACAGTACTCGAAAAACAGTATTCAGAATACTCGTTATAAGTATTCAAAATAATTTATTGAATACTCTCAAAAAAAGTATTTAAAAAGTATTCGAAATACTTAAAAAGTATTCTGAATACAGTATTCCGATTATTGTATTCGGATTACTACCCAAGTCTGAGTAAAGCGATCAATACTTTTCTTTGGATATTTACTTATATCAGTCCTTTTGTTTAGGTATTTTCATTCGATTCGATACCAAGTGAAAGTATCGATATTTTTCTGTCGATACCACGTCCCTACCTATCACACGTTGAAAGTAGATAAAAAAAAAATAGCATAATAACAATAATAATAAAAATCATAATAACGTTAATAACGTCTCCTAGGCCGGTCGTCTTTGTTTTTGTTTTCGTTCCGACACACGGAACAACCGCGTCGGTTCAGTTGGCCACACTGTGCGTCGGCCGCGGTCGTTCTTCTATTTCGTGTACGCGCGCGCTACCAGCGACTAAATGCGAGTTTAGTGAACGGAACGCGTTACGAGCGTTTACTTTTTTTATTTTTTCTCCCATCGTTCGGTGCTGCTGCTACTCGCGCGCCATAGTCATATATACATTTATTATTATTATTATTATTATTATTATTATTATTACTTTTTTTTTTCATTATTTTCAAAATGGCCGTGTGTCCACTGTTTGTTTAGAGAGTGCGCGTCCGCGAAATGTTTCCATGGATCACCGCTAATGAAACCCGTCCCACTACGTTCGTCTAGTGCGCGTCGCGTACATTTGTTCCGATCAACGCCGTTCGCGCGTTCGCCCGCGCCGTTCCACCGGACACTCGATTGAAATCCGCGAGTCTCGCACCTCCACTGCCGTCGCCGCCGTTGAATATTGATAACTCGTTCGAATCGCGTCTACTCTTGCGTTCTGCACGTCTGTAATTTTTCTTTTTCCTCCCGGACTAGGTGATCGTCGCCGTCTTAGTACCCACAAACGCGAGCGAACCACGTCCATCTGCAGCCAGTGGTTGTCGTCTTCGCATTCCGTCCACCTATCCGTCGAAGGATTTGGTCGAACTTTTATCTCCTTCCCGTCGCCGCTGAGGACCACTTGTTCGCGCTCACGTTCTGTTATTCTCGCGATGACTGCTGACTCATGTTCGACGCAATGACTGATACCAAGCGGCGAGTGAAGTTGTATGCCCTGAACGCCGATCGTCAATGGGACGATCGTGGCACGGGGCATGTATCATGCAACTACGTTGAACGGCTCAAAGGAGTTTCACTGTTGGTTCGTGCTGAAGCCGATGGTGAGTATTTTCCCAATTTATGTTGTGTGCTTTACACAGTATGTACAATTCAAATCAGCTCAGTCGATTGATGTTGTTTGTTTTGTGCGAACATCAATTTAATTTTTCATAGATAAAATGCTCTACTTTTATTGTTTGTTATATTCTCAGTTGGTCATATGATAAACATTGTTCAACAAACAAAAGTATTGTTGTTTTGCCTAATTTCCAGAGTTCTAACTTATCATTCACATATGCATCAAGTATTTGTGATTTTTAAGTTATAATTTTCCTATAGTTATGATTATTATTACTTTTAGGTTGTAAATTATTCTAGTAATTTTAATCCTAGATATTTAGATAATATTGAATTCTGTGTATTTTTTTAAATTTCATTATATAACTGTAGTATATTAACTATTTGATAAAACAACTATTTCTCCTAGACATTATTAAAATAATTTTAATCATTTTTCAATGATAACTTAATTACAATTTTTCAGTAGTATTATTAATTATCTAAGAACTAAAAAAAGTTTTAATTTCAAACAATTTATTATTTGATTGGATCTTTAGAAAATATCAAATATTTTTATTTATTTTAGGTTTAATTAGGTATCATATTAATAAAAAGTAATTCAGTTTTTTCCTGAGTGTTTTCTTAGCAAATTGGTATTTCATCTATTACTTATACTTAGATGATTCAATTCTATATTTTGAAAAAACTGAAATAATCTTTTAACTAAATAATTTACATTTTGTTATAGGTGCTCTTTTATTAGAATCAAAAATTCAGCATGATACAGTCTACCAAAAACAACAAGTTAGTTTTAATTTGAGAGTTAAAATGCATTTTTATTTATACTCAACAATAATTCTTAATATATACAACTCTTAATTATAGGACACTTTGATTGTTTGGTCTGAAGCTGATAATTTTGATTTGGCATTAAGTTTTCAAGAAAAAGCTGGTTGTGAAGAAATTTGGGAGAAAATTTGTAATGTTCAAGGGAAGGACCCAACAATTGAAACTACTCAAGATATTGTTGAAGAGTCTGAAGATGAGCGGTTTGATGATTTATCAGATTCTGCTCCTCCTGTAGAATTGCCATTATGTGAAATTGGCAGGCTTAAAGAAATTAAAGATGTAATTTAAATCTAAACGTGTATATTAATTGATATATAATTTATATAAAACTGTTTATTTACAGCTTTTTATCACTTGTATGGCTACACCTTTAAATAAAGATCGGTTAGCTGAAGCTATTGAAAATGATGGTTATGTACGCAAGTTGGTTAAACTTTTTAATTTGTGTGAGGATCTCAATAATTTGGAAGGTCTACATTGTTTATATGACATAGTTAAAAACATTTTTCTAATTAACAAAAATGCCCTCTTTGAAATGCTATTTGCTGGTAATTATTAAATACAATTTAATATTTGTAATCAAATTTTAAATTAATATTTTAATTTTGTTTCAGATGATATTATATTTGATGTCATTGGTTGTTTAGAATATGATCCAACTCAACCCATTCGTAAATATCATAGGCATCATTTAAAAAATGTTTCCAAGTAAATTTCTTAGCATTTTTTTTTTTTTTGTATATATTTAATTATTGCTTAACTTAAATCTTTTTTTTATCATATTAGATTTAAAGAAGTCATATTAATAACTAATCCTGAGTTATTGAACAAAATACATCAAACTCATAGAGTACAGTACATACAAGATGTGGTTCTTCCTACACCATCTGTATTTGAAGATAATATGTTATCTGCATTAAGTAGTTTTATATTTTTTAATAAAGTGGAAATTGTCACTTTAATTCAAGTAAACACATAATACATATTTTAATAATATAATAACACTGCATCTGTTATTCATAAATTAATTGAAATTATATTTTTAGGAAGATGATAAATTCTTGCCAGATCTGTTAGGCCAACTGCAAGATGAAAACACACCAGATTCAAGAAAGCTCGAGTTAGTTCAGTTTCTTAAAGAGTTTTGCAATTTTTCACAAAATTTACAGCCACCACAAAAAGAAGGATTTTTTAGAGTAATTCTATTTTGTTATTACATTTGTATTTCATATCAATAATAATGATTTCATTTTATAGACTTTGACATCTCTTGGTATTTTACCAATGCTTGAAATGACTTTAATATCTGAAGAAGTGAATATCAAACAGGCTGCTATTGATATTCTCACTATTCTTGTTGAGTTTTCACCTTCTGTTATACGAGAATATATTCTTCAACAATCAACCAGTACTGGTAAGATATAAGTTAAACTTATTATTTTGTGGAATGGTTTATTTGATATCAGTTTGCTTTCTACAGTTTTGCTTCTTAAACAACTGATGGAATAATTTATAGTTATGTCACTATTAATCTTGTAGCAATCTAGTTGAGTCAAAAAATGTATTGTTATGAAAACTATATATTAGAAATGCTAAAATCTTATTAACTATAAAAATATTGGATGTTTTTTTTAAATGTTAATTAAGATTAAATGAAGCTTGTAATTTTCCCTCAAAGAAATAATGGTAAATTTATAATTAATAATTATAATTAATTAACGTTATAATTAATAACTGAATTGTATTAGAGTAAATTAACATATTTAGAGGATTTTTCTTGCCCATATGGCGTAGCTAAGATTTATTTATTTTACTTGGCATGATCATAATTTTGATATTTTTATTTAATAAATTATATAATATGCATTTTTTTCTTTATCGAAATACAACAAATAAACCAAAATTTGATTAAAAAAAAAAAAAAATTAAAAATTTGATTTTAATTAAGTACATTAAATTAAAATTGTAGGTATGTGGTTGCAATATTAAATGGCTAACAATTAATTGTTTGTAGTTATTACTTCATTCACATTATCAGTGTTTCAAGCATCAAGCATTTTAGTCAAAAATATGTGTGAAAAATGTTTAAAAATAAAAATCTTTTTGATATAAAAACTGTTTTTTGGAAACATCATCAATTTTTTTTTTTTTAAATATGCATATTAGTGTACATAAAAAAATATTTTGCTAGTTTTTAGTGCATGAATTTCCAGTTCCGGTTATAATTTTTTATATTTTATATTGTTGGATCATTTTTCTGTAAATTGATATGTATTTAAATATAATAGTGGATATATGAAAAATAAATTAATATAACTTAAAAATTAACCTTTAGAAAATTGGAAGGAATTTTTATCTATTTCAAGGTAACCCTTCTTTAATATTTCAATCAAAATTTTTACAGTCATAATTATTTTATTACAAATCAGTAAAACATTTTAGAGATTAAAAAAGTGACTCATGTTTACTTATGCCTGAATATTGTGAATAACTGATGGTTAACTAATTATTATATCTATGTATCGTATTATTAACACGTTGACTGCCATACGACCACATAAAAATAATTATGTATTGATAAGTTATAGGCTGCCAGCTTCTGCATTATATCATTCGTAAGGTCGCAGTCTGCCGTAAATTTCCTACATTTTGGAATCATAATAAATATGTTGGCGCTGTAGTTATACATTTTAAATTCAAACTGTGATATAGTGGAAGAAATTGCCATTCTATCGGTATATTGTACATCCATATATGATGTTCTTTAGTCATCATTTTTATTACTCTAACTGAACATCAAATTAAACAATACATTTTACTTAAAACTTCTAAAATAAATTTTTATTTTTAATAAAACTTAATAAATACTAAGATCTTTAAAAATCGTATTTTATAAAATAAAAAAAAAAAAATACAGTACCTTTTCAATTAATATATTTAAAATAAATTTCTATTGTTTTTTAAAAACTAAAATATTAATAATTTTATAATTTAAGTTGTCATCTAAATGTTTCCGCACAACACTTTCATCCCAGACTTGAAACCGTTTTGGTCGAGAATCATTTTTACAGCATAAAAAAAATTAATAACAGTGGACAATTTGACGTTAGCACACCAGCGGCCGTATGGTGTCTAATAAAATTACTTATTATATTAGCGCCATGAGGTCGCTGGCGGCCGTACTATTATTATAATTTATTAATAATCTTCAAAGAAAAATAAACCAATTGATATCGGAATCATATTTGTAGTCTTATTTGTTCTAATTAAATCCCTCGGTATATTTTATCAATGTTACCCAGAATATATGTACAGCATTATAGAAATAAACGACTGTGAGGCCGCTGGCGGCCGTATGGTAGTCAACGTGGTAAGATCAATTAAAAAAATTTTTTCTTTATTAATTATACACAATTAGCACAATATGAGTATGAACTATTGACAGGAAGAAATGAAAATATTGAATGAAGAAGCCACCCGCTGATGACACTTTCGTTTTTGTATTTTAATTATTTTTTTTTTAACTATACATCCTTTTTTTTCTTTTTTTTTTTTCAAGGTATTAAGGGTGTAGTAGGTCCCTGCACTATTTTCGTTTAAGGTGACGAGGAGGATTACTAGGGATGGTTAATTCAGTTAAATTTTTATATGAGTGTGTTTGGATGTGAGTTTAGGCGTAGGTGAGAACCGTTTATAAAAAAATAGATGTTAATTAGAATCCTAAACACAATTTAAGTGCTTTTTATACGCCTCAATAAACATTTTTATTTTATCTTATATAAATATATATTTGTGTGTCCGTGTCCTGAGGCCTAGTATTCTTTTTTGAGAAATTAATAATAATTTTTGGAAAAAATTTTGAATTTCGAGTATTTTTTTTTTTTTTTTGTAATTGATATTTTGAACTATATTAATTAATTTTATTACTAGTAGTTAATATAATTTGTAATAATATTTCTATAGAATAAAACATCATTATATTATGTACAGTAGAATTTTAATCATTAATCTTAAACTATATTTTTTTTAGTGCCTCAAGGAAATGGAAATGAAAAAGACTTGATGCTAATGAATGTGATAATCAAACAAATGATATGCGATACTGATCCTGATCTCGGACGTGCTGTCCAGTTAATGGGTGTTATACGGGTGTTAATAGACCCTGAAAACATGTTGCCATCACTAAGCAAAGTAGAAAAAACAGATTTTCTTAACTATTTTTATAAAAATAGTGTTGATATACTTGCTGGTAAGTGCTGAATTTACTGTATTACTTAAATTAAAATTATCTGGAGTTATTAAGTATTTTGTTATTTTTAATTTTATTTAGAACCACTATTGAAAAATACGGAAAATGGTGAGCCTGCACAAGATGATTACCAAAATGCACAGTTATTGGCTCATATTCTTGAGTTATTGACCTTTTGTGTTGAACATCATTCATATCATATTAAATCGTGCATAATGAACAAAGATTTATTGAAACGTGTATTAGTACTTATGAAGTCTGCCCATAAATTTTTAGTATTGGGTGCACTACGATTCATGAGAAAAATTGTTGCTCTTAAAGATGAGTTTTATAATCGTTATATTACAAAAGGTTGTCTTTTTGGTCCTGTAATCGATTGTTTGTTAAATAACAATGGCCGTTATAATTTACTTGATTCTGCCATTATTGAACTATTTGAATTTATTAAACTCGAAGATATAAAAATTTTGATTGCACATATTGTTGAAAATTATGGTAAAAAGTTTGAACACATAGATTATGTACAAACATTCAAAGCTCTAAGACAACGACACATTCAACAAACTGAAAAATTAAAAGAAAAACCTATTACTAAGTATGTTTATATATATAAATATATTTGGAAAGTATACATTTTGTTTTACTTAGTTGTAGTGTGACTGTTTCAACTGGACGCTTTAGGCGAGATCCTCGACAAATAGAAGACGAAGAAGAAATATGGTTCAATAATGAAGATGATGAATTTGATGATAGTGAAGCAGTAGTGCCACATACTGGGATGACAGGTTCAACTGAAATAACAGCCTCTGAACAATTAGATTCTATAGGTAATTTATTAATTACACATTTGTTGAATTAAATATATATATATATTTTAAATTTGCATTATATTTTATTGTGGAATAGGTAAAAGTATTGATAAGAAATGTGAAGGTAGTAGTGCAAAAATATTTGGTACCACAGTAAAAACAACACCAGTCATAAATAATAATATGGTAGTTACTCCAACATTAAGTTCATCTCCAGAAGATCCTAAAAATAGTTCACTTCTGAAAAAGGTAAGTTGTTTAAATTAATTATTATTATTTAAACTAAATTATATAATTATATTATAATTATAATATAATAATAAATTTTTATATAATTTAAAATTATATAATTATTATAATAGGAGGCTATTTTGTTTTAATAAAATACCGTATTATAATAATATTATAATTTTTTTAATTTAATTTTACAATGTTAAACTCTTGGTAATATTGATTCTTATTTTTAGGCTTTAGTTGACTATGATGGTGATTCAGACGAGGATGATGATGAAAATGGAGATTTAAAATCACCTATCAAGAGAGCACGTTATTCATGATATGTTTGTAAAAGTTCATGTATCTATGATTTAAATAATAATTAACTTGTTTTGTTATACAAAACAAGTACAAACACTTATAATTTTAAGTTTTAGACTAAATAACATCACTCCAATGTAAATAATAATCATGCTAAGTATGATATGCATTATAGATGTTTTCGTGAATAATATGTTAAGCTAGGTAAATCATGTATGTTGCTTATCAACATTTTTATTTTTATTTTTTACCTACAACTCAACTAAAACGTGTACATTTGACTATCCTTTGGACTATTCATGTTATCAGTACTTAATCATGATTATTATTGTAACTAAAACAATAATAAAAAAACATACTTGTTTATGTTTTTCAAAAAGAATATTTGAATGTCAGTTAACTATTTAAATACTGCGTGAGTAAACCAATTTGATATATATATTTATATATATATACATACATACATTTTTTTTTATGCAAATTTAAAGTGATCTTTAATTTTTTGTTGTGATATTTTAAACTCTTGATGTTTTTTTTTTTTGTTTTGTACAATGTCGCCTTTCAAATGTTGCGAACTACAACTGTAATTTAATTTCATACAATCTTAGAGCTTTGTGTAGATATTTTCATGTCAATGTGTATATTATTAATTAAATATACAATATTAATTTTTAGAGGACCTATTTTTTTATTACAATTTTGAAGACAAAATGTAATTATATTTAAATGTATAAAACTAATAGGTGTAAGAAACTCATTTTATTTGGAACTAAATATTTATTTAATATTAGTGTTTTTCCCTTTGAATGAATGGTTATCTTAATTGTATTTTATTTTTATTGTTTATAATAATTTAAAAGACTGAAATTGTCTATTGAACTTTGATGTAATGGGATAAATATGAAACATTGTTTTTAGCAAAAGTATTAGAACCAATGATTAAAATAATTGAGAAAGAAAATCTTATGTTTTATTTTGTAGAAGTATTTAGTAATAGTTAAATACTTTTTTCTTCTAATGCTCTAACATAAGTATAATAAATAAAAATTTTATTCTAACTTTTATCTGTTAATTACACATAACGTAGATACTAAAATTTTATTTTAAATTAAATATTTCATTTTATTATGGGTTATTAGAGATGGGTAGAGTAATTATTGTCTCAATTCATTTTAAATGTTTTCTGAAGCATGTTTTATAAATTATTGTTTTTTTATTGGTTAAAAATATCTACTTAAAATTCATTATATTTAAAAAAAAATCACTTTGATATCTGTAATCCAGGAAAATTAATATTTTCTATATAAATTTTTTAACTATAATCTCCATTAAATTTTGTGTTATATATGAGATTTGTGTGATACCAATTATTACCAAATGTGTTAATATAATTTATTTTTTTATTTTTACGTTAATTTACAGATTTCATTTTATTTTTGCTTTTTATGATGTTTTTTTTTTTTTTTTAAATACACTATTATATATTTCTTATTAATTAAATAGTTATTTTATTTTTATTCGGAGATTTGTTACTTATATTATAATTTATTTGGTAGTGAACTAAACATTTTCTAATATTTACATAAGTCAATATAAGTACTTAGATATTTTTAAGAGGATTTTATTAATATATTTAGATACATTATGAACATTATGAGATATTAAATACTAATACTAGCTGTGATCTCTGTTTTCCAGTTAACTCATCAAGTCAAAATGATTTATAAATTAAAATAAATTGTTTTAGGAATTTATAATTTCCATAAGGTTGGAGAGAATAAATAATGTTGAAACACTATATAACTACTATGATTATTTTACATTATGTACATGTAGTTAATTTTTTTTCCAGTGAAGAAATAAGTATATTATTATTTTATTATTCGAATGAAAATATAATTTTTCTTATGAAATCCATTAATGGTGAACAGCCATATTAAGTCACATCATAGTGTCTTTGACAATAGTTTAGGATACCTGTGCTGCTTTTGCTAGTCAACCGATTTTTTAGGCATGGTGGCTTCTGATGACTGCACTATGTCATGTAGACTATGACCACTAAAAAACTAAAATATGCATGTTATTATCTTTCACTGAATATTAAAATTTTTAAAATTAAAATTAAACTAGTGACGTAATTTTAAAAAGAAGTTAATTAATTAATGCTCTGAAGGTAGCGCCAGTTATTTAGCTTAGTTTCCATTATGTGCAGTGGTGTAATTATATGCAAGCGTTGCGGCACGTGTTTACATCGACAAATTTGAAGAATTTATTTTGTTATTAATTATTAATAAAAATGGTTTTAAAACTTAAAAGATTGTATTAGTATTTAAATAAAATTTTTTTTGCATACTTACCTAATTTATGTATATTTTATAGTTGGTAGTTAAACGATAGTTAAATTAGTAGGTACGGTATATTATTTTAGTTATTTATGGTGGCAAATTTCCATAGGTCTACACGCACAAAACATAAATACGCTCCTGATTGATTGTGTGCAGACAAGTTATGACTATGGGTTAGGTTTGCTTTAGTCCTGTCCCGGTTACTGTACACTTATAGTATCTACCCGAATCCTCGGCTAAGGGAGCAGACTTGTCCCTGCTCCTTCGTGGTCTTGCTGGCCTAGTCGGGGCTAGTTCGAAGCAGCGGCAAATGCTGGTAGATCGGGTCCGCGGGTTGCGGATAGCGTTATTTAAATACTCCTCTGTGGTAGGGGAGACGAGGGAAATATTAGAATACTCTCGCCCGGACAATTTGCTTGCGCATCAGCCAGTACGGGGCGAGAGCTCTGCCTACGCGTGTTGGTGCGTAAAATATACGGTGTGCCGAGAGCTCTGAGGCGGCCGTACGATCAAAATGACTCCGAATCCGGTTCGCTGGAGGCTGGTGGCCTGCTGGTGTGACCGTCCAAGCAGGTCGGGCGTCCGGGCGTATTATTGCGTCTCATGTGATTCTCGTTCTTCGGAGGCCGTGGTCTCGGAGCGGCGCGGCTGTCAAAAGCTTCGTCGCACCGGTACCGTACCCCCTAACCATTGACGCGTAACACGAATGGTACGTCGGGAGGCGCGGTTAGCCCAGGGCGGCGTGTGTCCTACGGGTCTTCCCGCCGCGCCCAGTCTGCTTCGGTAGATCTGAGGTTGGACTCGACGGGGCTGTGGCGTCGCTAGGTAAACCAGGCGAGCACCGGACGCCTGGGGTCTTCCAAGACTTAACGGTACGAAAGTTGGCAGTTCGGCGGGGAGCGGCGTGAATCACCGACCCGTATGGAGCGTGTCCTTTGAGGAGAGAAATCTCATAGAAGGGGCACGCTTGTCTGAGCCTAGGCTCGAAAGCATTGGTTTATTGTACACTTATAGTCAGGGCCGTATTTAGGAATTTGATACCAGGGTCAATAATAAAAAACGCCTCATTATACCAAATACAAATTTCTGCGGGTTGAAAAAGATATTTTTGAAGAACAATTCGTTGCTGGTGTATACAAAATCATTCTAAGTGCAATGTCAACATAAGAATAGATTGTTTGTAAATCTTTGGATCTATCGTCAGTACTCGACCGTTACCGAGTATGTGTGTGTGTGTGTGTGTGTGTGTGTGTATGTGTGTCGTGACGCCCTGGTTGGCGATGTATATATTTTTTGAAATACAATTTTTATTTTCTAAAGAAGCTTCACTTCAAAAATATTAAATCATTAAATATTGAAAATATAAAAAAAATTAGTCGTCCGGGGCAACGGCACCCCGTAGCTCCCCCGTAAATACGGCTCTGCTTATAGTAAATAATGCTTTTTTTATACTCAAAATGAATTAATTTTATCAGTTATTTATTATTTTTAGTTATTTTGAAAGGAACTTCAGCGAACTTTTGACTATATCACTTATACTAAATATTCCCTATAATGACTGACAGAAGAAAACCTATTCTCATTAGTTATAGCCAGTGCTCGAATTGGGAAAAATTAAGTAGAGGAGCTCAGTGGCGGATCTAGGATTTTATCATGGGGCTGGGATATAAAATATTTTCGTACATAATATATATAGAATAATAAGTTTTATTCTACTAAGTTTACAAAACAAAATTTAATTTTCATGATGACTGTGCCATTACTCTATGGTTTTATTCCGGGTCATGATATAAATACGAGGTGTATATTTGTAATCTGATATTAAGTTAGATACTAATGTATATTAGTGTATCCTTCTTGATTACGAAATAATAAAAGAATAGTTTTTATTTAAACTGTGCATGCAAAAATTGAATTGGTTGCAAAAAAATGTTTTTCAACTCTCGGCCCATGGGGGGGATCTATCCCCCATATCCACCCTCGTAGATCCGCCAATGAAGGAGCTCAGTCCAACGATTTGAAAACTACGTTTTACGTGCGCAATTATTTAACACATATCCGTGGGGGGCTTCGTATTCCCCCCTCCACCAACCTTACATATATTTTGAATACCACTTTTCAACTAAACAAATATTTAAATTCCAAATATAATATGTTTTGATAGCAATACCAACATCCTACATGTTACAATAGAAAATAAAAATAAAATAATAATTAACATAATTGTAGACGATCAGGCAGTCTCATGAATCGAATGATATAATCATATATCTGGTTTTTGTTTTTATCTATTTTTACTCTTTAGTGCGGGCCATGGCCTTAGAAGGTTAGTTTATGGTCGTTGTGCGGGCATTTATTTTTTTCCGAAATGACGATATCGTCGATCACCAATATTAATAACAAACCGTACAGACGGCGTTGTCCCTTATCATAAACACTATAATCTTTAATTATAAAAATAGTTTTGATATTATAAACCGTAAAATTCGTTTTAAAATTGACGTTTACTAAAATTCACATAAAAATTATTTTGGACATCAATTAAGATGAACGTTCCGGTGAAAAAATATAGTTGGGGTACGCAAAAAAAAAAAAAAAATAATAGAGGAGCTCCCTCCTTATTCGAGCACTAGTTACAGCTATTTAGGTGAAATAGAATACTACATTACCAATAAAAAATTTAGGTATAAAATTTATAATATATTCCTAGGTTTAATGCTTCTAACATATTTTGATTTCAAAAAGATACTGTATATGTTACAGAAACTATAAAATAATCGTGTATTATAATATATAACATGATATAATCGTGTTTTTTAAATTTGGAATTAGTTATATATTTTTATTATATCAATACCTTTGGTTATTAAAATCTGATTAATGTTTAAACATTAGTTTAAAGATTATTTAGGTATAATTTCATTATACAGAGTAATGTTTTCCTTACAAGTCTCACACAGCTGTTGGTGGTGAAGACTTAAAAGCCTCAATCAAATCGACTAATAGATATTTAATTTTTTTCTTTAACATTTTAATTAG